TAAAAATAGGAGGTGTGATCGTTTTAAATTTTGTACGTAAAAGTAAATTATTTTTTAATTATGATAGAGAAAATAATTGTGAGAGATGGAAGTTCATTTAAAATTATTTAGTTTAAAAAATATTTTATTTTATTTTTTAATTTTATTAAGTAATAAATAAATAAATATTAAAAGTTGTTAAAAGATGTCTCAATTGTTTGGTCGAAACCCACAACAATCTTGAGATTTTGATTCTTGACTCTCTAAGAATATTTTAAGAACATCTCGACTAAGAAGAATAAGACTTGTTGATCGTTTCTAGCTTATTGTTACTTACATTGTATGCCAAATAATTGTATGATTCATCTCGAATTAGTGTGGATAAAAAATTCATAAGAACTAAATCGATGAAATTGATAAACTAAATTGACAAAATTAGCCAAGTCATAGCAAAAAGTGATTGAGAGGAATCGATCTTATGCCCTAAGCTAAGATTAAAGGGCTTTTTTTCAATTCTATCAAAACAATGAATGGAAAAAATATTTTTTTCTCTCAATTATTTACTTGAACTCACGACAACTAAAGAGATGACCACGAGATTTTATCCCTCGACTGGTTTACAAAATGAAAGCTAAACTATTTATAGGCCTAAGGATTCCTAGGATGCATGTATAAGCTTTAATGAGTGAACATTCATGGATGAATGTTCATCCTTTATGTAGATACAAAGCATGGCTTAGGTGAATGAATTTGATGAATGGATGTTCATCTTTTAATGCAATGCATCCTTTGGCCGGCCGAATTCATCCCTCTTTGTGTGAATTTGTTGATTTAACTTCTATGGATTAATGTTCATGAATGTATCTTGGCTGAAATTCTTCCTTGAGAATATCTTAACTGAGGAATATCTTGCTTGTTATAACTTACATTATATGTTGAACCATCGTATGATTCATCTCGAATTAGTGTGGATAGAAACTCATGAAAACTAACTCCATAAAATTAACATAATAATAATAAAATGAAATCATTCCTTCCTATACCAACTCGTAAAATTCATTTACTTAGTTTATTTATTATCGTTTCAATCTCTATAAATTTTCATCTAAATCAATTTGAGATGAATCATACAAAATGGTTCAATACACAAGATAAATCATGATATGTTAAATATAATTAAAGACCATGTTTTCTTTAATCGATGCCCTATAGAAATCATCTAAGAGTCGGGAGACAAAATCATAAGATTAAAATACTATATAAACATCTAAAAAATAAATACAAGACAAAAACCTTTATATTACAATGAAATTCGCCAAGTTGGCTTTGCTTAAATTCGGATGGAGCTGTCTCCTCCGTTTCTGGCAGGGACTCGATAGGGGTTGTTATCCGTGATCCTGATGGAGGCTGGATTGTTGGCTTCAATAAACACATTGGTACAAGCTTGGTCCTCCAAACTGAGTTCTGGGGCATCTATGAGGGTCTTCTTCTTGCTCGAAACCTTGGCCACTCACGCTTTGTCGTGCAATCAGATAGTTCAAGTAATTAAACTGTTGAACGATGTGAGTGCTGCTCAAAATCCAATCTCTCTTGTTCGGACCATAGCAGACTTGTGTACTCCGGCATGGGAGCTGCATTTCCAATGGATTTCTTGACGCAAAAAGAGTGTGGCATATCGTCTTGCCAAGCTTGTCTCGACAGATCATTTCGACCTTGTTCAGTTTGCCTCCCCTCCGGTGGAAATTCAAGATCTCCTTGTTCAGTTTTTGGCTGATGTCTTAGTTTCATTTTCAATTCAATTCAATTCAAAAAAATATATATCAGCTTTCTTCTTCATTGTGTTCCATATAATTGATTATATATTTTATAATATTATTTTACAAAACATCACTAAATTCAGTTTGAAATTAAAAAAATATGTTTATAATTTAAGTTGAATCTTATATAAAAATTGATTTTTAATAAAAATTATGTTGACAACGAATATAAAGAAAATTGATTTTTAATAAAAATAAATTTATTAAAATTCAAATCCATTAGATCACTGAGGTACTTGGTGAAAATGGGTCTTCTAGTAAGGCACTGCAAGCATCTAGGAACTAGAAATCCCCCTTTTCAAATATTCTTGCTCTCCTTTTACCTTCTATAGTTCAATTGACATCGTTGCAATTATAACATAAGCTGTAGATTTGAACACATACCATATCCGACATATTAGAATTCGAATAACATAAATGCATAGTAGAGCCTATTAAAATCCATCAAGCACATGAAAATTAAAATAAATGTGTTGCTTCTTACACCAGGAAGTATTTAAGGCCAACAATCAGCCTACTTTCTAATTCTAATCCACATAGGTGTTAAGTAATGCTGAATTAAGACTCCAGTCTATTCAAAAGTTAATTCTACAACTGCTACATACAAAACAACAACTAAATTCCTATTTTGAGAATATCTGAATCCGATTTTTTTTCTTTTTCTTGTTTTTGTTTTGAGAAGATCTACGCTCTCGTACCATACAACATAAGAATCTTGACACTGGGTGTGATTAAAGTGCAAGATCTTACCATGGTTGCCCATTCCACCGAGTCGTCGGGCCAACTGAATATCCTTCTTCACTGAGGCAAGAAAGGAAATGGAGTTAGTTTGCTCCTTCTGGGAATGGAACACATTATTTGTTAAACTCATTGTAAATGAATCTATAAAAACAAATAGTTGTCCCTTTGGAACTGAGAAATCATGTTTTTCAATGAGCAGACAGTTTGAAACATGATTAGATGGTAACGAACGAATGGCAACAAGAAAGAGTTTCCGAACGAGTGGTTCCTGTCCATAAACTTCACTATGCTATAAATGCAGAATAAACTTACTCATATTAAACAATCCATAAACTGCTCCATGTTTCCACTATTTTTGAGAGATTCAACCAAAGGCAGAGACCCAGGGCATCAGTCTGCTTACATTATCTCTCATTAATATAGAGAACTAACTTCGGCAAATCAAATACACAACATCCAAGCATCAGACTAAATAAAACCTGGAGTTGACTGCATGATGTTGTTACACCTACTTTTAGGTTGCTATAACCATTCTAAACTTAGAAAAACCCCAGAAATGTAGGAGAAAATATCCCAATATAAACTAGTTCAAACAAAAACATCAGTTTCTCCATTCTTTAACTTACTGTAACACGCTTCACATGAATTGCGCACAGCATTGCATCTCCAAACAATTGAATCAAATATTCTTCTGCTGCCTAGAAATGCATAAAAGGTTATACTCTTTGAAGTAGAAAGTAGCAAAAGCATGATACCACTAATTGCCTTGTTAAATGGCAACCAAACTACAGTTCATCACAATCATACAGTTAAATTACCAAATGGAAATTAGCATACTCGTACTATACTCAACTCTACTTTTTGGATACATAAATATCTTTGTTAATGTTGGCAATCTAACCTTTGGCAGCATGACAATATGGAGACTAGGGAGCATGATATATAACAGACCCACCACATCTGGAATCAGATGCAAAAAAAAAATCTTGCACATTTATGTGTGCATTATGTGCGAGTCTACATTTCTATTTATATTTGAAGGCTTATCATTTCCTTTATAAAAGGCAGGATAAGTTACCAAACCTCTTGAATTGCAACTAAAGCTTCAGCTTGCCAACGACCTATGTCTGGCGCAAATCGGTAGCTAATAGCTCTTACCTACAAAAATTCATATTGAACATCATTGCTTCCTGATTAGCCTCGTAAGAAAGGTAAAGCATAATGTATTGTCGAGATATTTTTTCCCCTTTGTATATGTCACAAGTGCAATATTAATGTCAGCTATTTGTGAAATTTCAGGGTCAAAGATAGAAATTTAATATGATGCCTTTCTTCAAATTCAACTATAACTTGTACTGAGAATTAATAAATCTTACTTCAATCTCAAGCATTGATTATTAGTTGTAACAAGGCAGTAACTATACTGAATTGCATTCAACTAATAATGCAGTCAAGACAAAAAGCTAGTTTAGAGAGAGTGCTTACTTCTCTGATGAAGCTGGCAGCAGGGATGAGTCGATTCGTAGTCTTCTGGTATTTCCGAATCTCTTGAAGAGCCCTAGTTCCTGGTTTAAAACGATGAGGCTTCCTCGCTGTTCCTTGAGCTTCGAAAGAAAAAATAGAAAGTTCAGTATTTAATACAGCGTGCATTTGTTACCTATAGAGGGCTATCATGTCTCAGAAAAAACTCACAAGATGTGGCTTGTCCTCCAGTTTTATTTGTCCTTATATTGCTAGCATCCAGAAACAAAAAGGGCGGGGGGGGGGGGGAAGCAAATTCAACCTCAGATTTAAATCACAATTGAAATAAAGAAAAGCGGCAAAATTTAAGGGAAAACAAAGATAACAAAGAATAGATAAAAAATGGTACAGTTGGATGTTGGGAGGATTGGAAAGTAGATCACCTTTCTCCTTATCTCTTTGTGCTTTGAGGGGTGATTTCAAATTTCATCCAATATCATTAAATTTAACTTAATCGCCTTTGTTTGGCTGAAGACCTCAAGGTCTTATGCAAAGTTACTATAGAGATTATGTTCTTTCTATTCAGATGATCCTTGGAGCTTTTTACAGAATCTCAGGCTTACAGCTCAACAGTTCAAAAAAATTTTCCCAATGATTAGTCAATTGAGGATACTTCTGCTGTTCAATTTTCTACTGATTAAAAATAGGTAACCTTATGGTATTGCTTGTTTGGACAAGGTTGAGTGATAAAGATTGTGATCCATTATTTAAGAAAATCACAAGCAAGAGGAGTCGGGCTGCAAAGAATCTTTCTTATGCTGACAGAATATGGCTTGGTTAATCCAATCAGTTTTATTTAGCATGGAAAATTTTATGATCTGCGAATTTTATTCCACTTCATAACATTATCAAGAAGATTGTTCAATTGAGCAAAATATTTCTAATTAACTAAATGTAAATTGTTGTAGGGATATAAATCGCATTCACATTTCTAGGATTTAGTTACTGGCAGCGAAGCGTGGCATAACTCGAACTGCGACTTATACTGAAATCTCTTGTTCGTTTCATTGTTTTCCTACTTCTGCAAGTTGTTTCCTGTTTTCCTGAATCATCTTCTTCTTCACCTTCTATTTTTGTGTCTGCGTCATCATCCTTTGAGTCTGAACCATCGTTACCTTCTACACCATCACATGAACTGTCCCCATCATTATTTTTTGATGTGCTTGAACAATCTCCCTTGCCTGTACCATCATTATCCTCTGAGTCTATTGGTTCTGCTGAGTCTGTTGGTTTTACTGAGTCTACTGGTTTTGCTGAGTCTGCTGGTCCTCCAAATGATGTTCTTAATGCTTCAACAGGTGGTTCCAGATGCTCCAATATCACAGCATATTTCTTATTCCTACCTTCCATATCGTACACATACTTTTGTTTCTTCCATCTCTATTTTGTTTGAACCTCAAACTTAATGATAAGCCAAATCTGATCCCACTGGATCAAATCCATGCAGGATGAAATTCAGGCTCTTCAGTTGAATAAAACTTAGTCATTGGTGCAGTTGCCTCTGGGAAAGTTTGCATTGGGTGTAAATGGGTTTTTAGAATTAAATACAAAGCTTCCGGTGAGGTTAAGAGATACAAAACTCGGCTTGTTGCCAATGGTTACAATCAGAATGAGGGTATTGATTTTGTACAAGTTAGAGAAGAAAGATGTATTTTCGCCCACTAACTTGAGGGGGAGTGTTGAGAGATAAATGGTTACCATGTAGTCACAAATTAGTTATACAATTGTACGAAGTTGTTATGGTTAGTTAATAGTAGGCAGTTAGCTAGTTTTTTATATATACATTGTATTTCAGTAAAGTATTTTTTTTAATAATATGAATTACATATACATTAAATTTCAGTAAAATATTTTTTTAATAATATGAGGTTTTTTTCATATTACTGTTGGCATCTCATATTCTTAACAATATAACCGAAACTACAGTTTTTTTTTTTTTGTAATATGCATGAATTTTGAAGGTTTAATTCAAAAATAAGTGTTTAAACTATACCACAAATTAACGTTATGTGTCTAAAGAATTTTTCGTTAAAAGCAGATTACTAACATTTTTATGTTATACTTTTAGGTGTTTACATCATAACGGCGGTTAAAAAATTATTAAATTACACATGTCATGTTTATATTTTAAAAAAATTTACTTTTAAAATGAAAATATAGACAATGTGTGTGGGTTAGGGGGAATATAGGATGAGAGGAGGGGAAGAAAATGACTTCTTTTTATATATTTTTAAATAAATATTTTTAAAATATATATAACACGTGTCATACAATGATTTTTTAAAGATTCGTTATAATGTATGTACTTAAAAGTATATAGGAAAAAAGTTATATATATATTTTTAACATAAAAATTTTTAAACACCTAAAATTAATTTAAAATATAATTTAAGAACACAAATCCTCTGCCCGCAATCCCTATCCCTATTTGTGCATCCTTTATAAAAATTGCACCACGTGTCCATTTTAAGTTTTCAATTGCTTTATATTTATTTTAAAATTCATTTTGATAATTTTAAATTAAAATAACATAATTAAAACTAATTAATAGGTAACGGAAATAAAAATCAATAAATTCACATTTTTCAATTTATAGAACAGAAAAATAAGAAAAAATATTTGTGCAGTTTAAAGTTTTTTAATTAATATTTTAACTTATACTTGACGTCCTTAAATTATAGTTTAATTTTTTAATTATAAATTATAGTTTAAACTTTAAATTAGTTTCCAATCTTTAAATATATAAAATAAATAAATGACGCAAATAATATTATTTAAGTAATTAGATATATAATTTAATTTATAAATTTAAATATAATAGTAAAAGAATTTCAAACCTTAATTAAAAATTGTATAAAATTAAAAAAAATAAACATATTAGTTAATTGTCACAATTTTAATCGACGTAAATATGTAATTTAACTTAAATATGTAAGAGAGTCTGTAAAAAAATTATATTTTTACTTCAATTAAAATTGTGTCAATTTATATATATATTCATTTTATATATTTTTTGAGGTTGGAAATTCTTTTATTATTATATTTGATTTTTAAAAAATTAATTTATATATTTAAAGATTGGAGACTAATTTAAAATTCAAACTATTATTTAAGGACAACCAGTATAAGTTCAAATATTAACTTAAAAATTTTCAAACTGTAAAATTATATTTTGTTTTTGTTTTTCTGTTCTATAGATTAACAAAATGTGAATACTGAAACTAATTTTAAAAGAATGAAAAAAACAAAAGGAAATTTACGTGCAAGACAAAGACGATGATATTACGAGATGTGTCTAAATCTCAGCTTTCTTCTTCCTTATCTCCCGTACCAAAAACTCAACCAGAAAAGCCATGGCGAAGGCACAAACAACCCATATAGCAATTCTACCGAGTCCAGGGATGGGTCACCTCATTCCACTCGTTCAGTTCGCCAAGCGACTCGTTCACCAACACAGCTTCAACGCCACCTTCATTATCCCCACCGATGGATCCCCTTCTAAAGCTCAAAAATCAACTCTTGATTCCCTTCCAAGCTCCATTGATTCCGTTTTCCTCCCTCCCATTAACTTGACCGATCTCCCTGGTGATTCGAAGATCGAAACGGTGATTTCTTTAACGGTGTCCCGTTCACTTCCTTACCTCCGTGACGCTTTCAAGTCGTTAGTGGCGAAGACGAACCTCGTCGGTTTGGTTGTTGATCTGTTCGGGACCGACGCGTTCGATGTCGCTAATGAATTCGGTCTCTCGCCGTACATATTTTACCCGTCGACGGTGATGGCGTTGTCTTTGTCTCTTTACTTGCAGGAGCTCGACCAAAAGGTTTCATGCGAGTACAGGGACATGTCTGAACCGGTGAGAATACCAGGGTGCATAGCGATTCAGGGGAAAGAATTGCCCGACTCGATACAAACCGGCAAAACGACTCATACAAGTGGATGCTTCATCATGTAAAGCGGTATATGTTGGCTCAAGGGATCATTGTGAACAGCTTCATGGACTTGGAAGGAGGACCAATAAAGGCCTAGCAAGGGAGTAAGCCACCGGTTTACCCCGTCGGTCCACTCGTTAATGCGGATTCGAGCCGTGAACCGGACGGCTCCTGTTGTATGAAATGGCTCGATGTTCAAGAGATCGGTTTGGTTTTATATGTATCATTTGGTAGTGGGGGGAACATTTCAATGAATCAATTAAATGAGTTGGCTATGGGATTGGAAATGAGCGGGCAACGTTTCTTGTGGGTTATTAGGAGTCCTAATGACAGTGTTGCCCATGCCACATTTTTCAGCATCGAGTCACAAAATGACCCTTTTGAGTTCCTGCCAAAAGGGTTCATTGAGAGGACCAAGGATAGGGGTCTATTGGTGCCATCATGGGCACCACAGGCTCAAGTGCTGAGCCATGGTTCCACCGGTGGGTTCTTGACCCATTGCAGGTGGAATTCGACACTCGAAAGTGTGGTTAACGGGGTGTCGCTAATCGTGTGGCCGCTTTACGCCGAGCAAAAGATGAAAGCTTTGATGTTAACTGAGGATGCGAAAGTCGCATTGAGACCGAAACCTAACGAAAATGGCTTGATTTGCAGGGACGATATTGCAAAGGTTGTTAAGGGTTTAATGGAAGGTGAAGAAGGGAAAAGTGTCAGAACCAGAATGAAGGAACTTAAAGAAGCAGCTGCTAAGGTACTTGGTGAAAATGGGTCTTCCACTAAGGCACTCTCTCATGTGGCTAATAAGTTCATTCATCAAGCACTCCAAGCATCTAGGAACTAGAAATCCCCCCCATAGTTTGGCCAAATGGGATTTGAATTGTATTTCTCCAGTTTAGTTTGAATTTAAATATTCGAATTGTATTTTCGCAAGTGTATTTGATTATGTTATTTTCAATTAATCTAAAAATATTATCCTTTTACCTTCTATATTTCATTTTTATTTTACAAATGTGATAAAAAAAAACAAGAATATCGATTGAATATTAAATCGACACCGTTACAATTACAACATAAATTGTAGATATGAATGCGTCGAAACAAAATTACCTGCAATTTACGAGTCGTTTAAGCATTATAATTATAGATTTAAACACATACCATATTTGACACATTAGCATCTGAATAACATAAATGCATGGTAGAGCCTATTAAAATTAAGCCCGTAAATGAATTGAATAAGTATGAATAAAGATATGTTCATATTCGTTATTATAATTTTAATCGAACAATTGAACGAACACAAATAATTAAACAAACAAAAAATTTTGTTCATATACGTTAGTTTAATAAATAAACGTACATATGTGAACTTCTCGTCGAACAATTCACGAACAATTTGTTGAAAGTTCGATTCTTTACATCACTAATTAAAATTCATCAAGCACATCAAAATTAAAATAAACGTGTTGCTTCTTACATCTGGAAGAATTATACAGATATTTTCGGTTTTGTATGTATCATTTGGTAGTAGGGACCTTATGCAAAGTTACTATAGAGATTATATTCTTTCTATCCAGATTATCTTCAAGTTTTTTACAGAATTTCAGGCTTACAGTTTAAAAAGTGAAATATTTTTTCCCAATTATTAGTTAATTGAGGATACTTCTCATGAACACGAACCATCTCTATTACGAAATCAAATTCAAATAGTTTCCCTCTCCATAAAAATAATTTATTAAAATCTAAATTAATAATTTAGGGCCCCAATTTAGTATTTAGCTACCAAGGTTAGGGACTAAATTAATCTTATTGGAACCAATCCTTGAGGACTGAGTTGCTGGTTTCACCTTTCTTTTATTCTACCACTCAAAACTAGGTAGTTTAGCATATTTTATAAAAGTAATTTAATTGTTTTTCTTTTTCCATGTCATCTTTTCTTCTCTAACATAATACATTCGTAGTTTCTTTGCAATGGATCATCGGCCGGTCACCGATCACCGATGAGCACCACTTTAACCACCATCTTCAATAGTCGTTCGAGTCTCAAAATATATTATCGGAACTAACTTGGCCTCTTAATCATAAATTTGGAAGCTGTTTTCACTAAATCATCACCATGTTTTGTAGATTACAGGATTTCTCACATCTCAAAACTCTCTAATCGTTGTCGTTGACCGTTCGATAGAGTCAGTTTCTTAATATGTTGTTCCTCGCCTCCCCCCGTATTCCTCATCGTTGAGATCTCCTTGGAAAAGCCTCCATCGTTGGGAATGACTACTTGAACTCGTTGGCGTCTTCTTTCTTTTTTTCTATTTATTTTCTTTCAATTGTTGTATCTATTTATGATTTGGTTTGTTAGTTTGCAGATAGGGATGAGCAAAACTCGACTCAACTCGATTTTTTTTTTTCAATTTCGAGTT